TTTGCGGTATGTGGGCCATGTGTAAGTTGTTTACAGCCACAGGCCAGTTGCAGACACACTGCTGGCCCTGTGCTGTCAGCCTAATGTGTCACATTGGCTCATTTAATTATGACACACTGTATGAGAGACACCTTAAATCAAAGAGGGACTGGTTTGCTCCGCACAGCGACGTAAATGTGCGTCTTACCTGTGAGTATCACCAGGCTTCGCTGTCTGTACAGTATGCTTTTCTTCAGCCCATTTTCTGTTGGGAGGAGTGAAGGTATGTCAGGGAGGGGCTCTGACTTGGGTTCGTCGGGAGTAACGGCGAGGTCACTGAAGCCATTTTCAAGTCCGTTCTCCTTTGGCTCCACGACTGAAGACCTCCATGGCCGCAGAACCATCGGCTGTGCAGTACGACCCATGTATCTGCAGGCACATAAAGATGTAAAGATGTGTAATATACGTACGACTCGGACGGCGGGAGGGATCTGTGGCGGCACTATATCCCTTGAAGTCTGATTGTTTCCATGTTTGACACCAAGTTGTCATATCATGAGTTCACAGTTCGTTACTTTCGCTTCTCTGTAGAATAAAGGATACAGCACCTATGGTTGTATCCAGACTGCTGGTCGTTAGCTCTCCGCTCTGCGTTCATATCCACAGTAATGTTCTGTAGAAGCCACGACTGCTAATACATGTTTATGCAGGCAGGAGGTCTGTCTCCAATTAAAGCTATTATAACTTCCTGAAGTTACTACTAATTTTCAAGTCGTTTGATATTTCCATACCACCCCAACTGCTTCTTAGTCATCTGCTTTCATCGTGTCATTTTAATTCCCAGGAAATTCCCATCCTTTATGCTAATGTGAAACGAAAAGCAGATTAGCTGAAGACTGTGGGAGGGATAAACACAGAAAAGGCAACAAGAAAAGTATCAATTTAAGTTTGGCCAACTGGAAACACATGAACAGGTTTAATAAAAAACAACTGAATGGATTTTTATTCACAACAAGGTGTTTTATACTGTAAAGAAACCCCACCAAACAATCCTCTAAGAGCAAGCACGTGGCAAACATAAAACCAGGCCTCAAACCAGCACCTCTGTTAGGGCCAGTGTTGCCAACTCAAGGAAAATCGCTATTGGCTGTCCTAAAAGTCGCTAGAAGTCGCTAAATGACCTCATTGCCTAATTTGCATAATTGGTCTTGCTAATGTAATTGTAACCTATGTTGTTGGGGAGAGAAATAACATCGTGGAAGAGACATAAAGTGAGTAAAAAACATCCTAAATGCATTTAGAATTTATTTAGAACTACAAATTTAATTTCTTTTAGCAATTATTGTTTTTTTAATGTCACAATTCCAACCCTGCTCCTTTATCCGGGCTTGGACTTAAGGCATTAAGTCGTTTTAAACCTTGTGATCCACAAAACAGCATAACAGTAAAAGAAGAACTGACTGCACTACAGTCAGTGCAGGAGCAGCGGCTTCGCTCATGCACGATTCATTTGCAGTTTGGACGCACAGGTGTGAACATCTCCTGCCCTGATAGCAGCTGGGGGAGGGCTATCCTCCGCCCGTGAGCGCTTTGGCACGGGTGAGGTGCACCATGCCAAAGCACAGCTGCTTGTTGAGAGTAAGAGCAATACACGCTTTCACGTCAAAAAATTGTCATAAATAAGTCTCCAATAACACCAGAAAAAGTCGCCAGATTTGTCGCTAGCCGCTTTTTAGAAAAAAAGTTGCTAAGGGGGTCTGAAAACTCGCTAAATATAGCGACAAAGTCGCTAAGTTGGCAACACTGGTTAGGGCTGTCAAAAAGGAAATCCTCAGATGTTAATCAGTACTAAAAATTGCTTTTAGATGTTCCAAAAAAGTTGATTCTGTTCATCTGGACGTAGAGTTTTCAGTGGGAGAAATGTTTTGTCACTCATCCAAGTGACTTCTTCAGCCGACTGCATTTTTCCCCAGTCTTATAAATTGGAGTTTCATTTTCAACTATGCACACAATTTGGAAAACATGAAGCTCATGAAGTGTAACAGTAACATCACTCAAACTCAGATGTCATCGTTCTGCACACTTCGTTCACCTGCAGGAACACCGGACGTCAAAATGTAACATCCTGACTGCTAATTAGCCTCGCTCATGTTGCGTCTGTTTAAACTCCGCTGGAAGAACAATTCAGTGGGTGAAACGAGCACAAACGAAGAACGTAACGTCACACTTGGAAGGATGATGAATATGAGAATCAAAAGAATTGGAAATTATAATAAGTCGTTTAAAAAAAAAATATAGCTATTAATACACGGTTTGATGTTTTTACCACACGAGTGTTTCTTTGATGTTCTATAAGACATAAGCATAGAACAGCAGTGTGTATTATTTTGGGGGGAGGATTCAGTTTGAATAGAGAGAGCGTTGTTTTGAGGCCTTTGATGTGTGGAGTTTTGACGAAGCATCTGTATTCAGAGTTTGGAGAAACTGAGCCACAGTTTCTAGAAATTTGGGAACTATTATCAGCAGAACTACCTTTCTGACATTATTGTTGGTAACGTTGCGCTTTTAATCATTTTAAAAGTTTGCTTTGTGTTTTGCGTACTTGTGAATGTTGGCAGATGTTAGCATGCTAACAGTGAGTTGGACAGACCATCCAAAGTGTGTGCTCAGGTTGTGAGAGCAGCACAGTGCAATGTGTCCTACGACCTCTCTGAAACACGAGCATGACTTCTGTTGTCATCTACGATATTAACACAGTGTGGTGCAAAAGACAATAGCGACGTATTCTCTGGACTGAGCATGACCCTGAATGTTTAAAAGATGATCTAAAAGTATTGTAAAAGTATTACGTCTTCCAACAACGTCGTCTTCGACGGCTGCTCAAGATCACATATCGGGATCGCGTTACCAATGAAGAAGTATATCGCCGTGCGGGAGTAGAGCTGCTCCATGTCCAAGTCACCAAGCGTCGGTTCAGATTTGCCGGTCACATCCTTCGGCTACCGGACCCGAGACCTGCCCGTGTCGCGGTTCTGTGGAACCCGAAGAATGGAAAGAGACGGCGAGGAAGACCTAAAATAACACGGAGGAGGACTTTCCTTGAAGATTTATGTTCAGTCGAACTGTCATGGGATGAAGCAACAACTGCAATAGACCGAGTTCGATGGCGTTCTCTTGTCGCCCGATGCGCCGATCGGCGCGGGAGGATCTAAGTCTAAATCTAAGTAAGTCTAAAAGTATTGTGGCGTGACCTTTCAGAATAATCTTTTGTGCTTTTTATTCGGTAAATATTTTATGCGCTGAAGCTTCAGTGAGACTTGTTTTTAATGCATGCAGATGCTCTGCTCTCCTTTTTTTGTTGTTTTATTGTGTTTTATCCCACTCAATGCCGCCCTTCTCAAATGTCCGGTCCTTGCGTCATCGTCTTTAATCTATAGAGATGAGACAAATCAAAGGCAGCACTCCACTCTGCCCGTAACCTATGTGGCATAAAGTCAAAGTGATGTCTCCTAGCTATAAAAGGTCCGCAGTGCGGTTGATGCAGCAAATGTGTTGAAGCATCTCAGAAGAGTCTAGCGTCCAAATGGAAGGAGATAATTAAAGGCCGCGTCAGGTGAGCTAAATATTCCCCCATAAAACAACTTGGCGCTTGCAGAAAAAGCCAGACAAAGACGCCTCTAC